AATATTTTTATCATGTCGATTAAAAGTAATTATTAGCTTCCACAATAATAATCTCTTCTTCTCACCTCGAATGAAATTAAGATTTAAATATATTTCCATACAATGACGAAAGATCAATTTCAAGGTGAGTACGAAAATTCATCTCTCCTGTTCTTACATCCCTGTCTCGTTACATATACATATACATATACATATACATATACATATACATACATATATACACACATATACATATATATATATATATAAATAAATATAATGGATATAACAAGGACGATATCGTGATATGGAGAAATATATACCGGCGGACATGGGAGAGACCTTTCCAAATCGCGTTTACAATCGCCTCGCGACGGCTGACATTTCGCCAGGCAGCGAGCAACGATGACCGGTGACCGCAACGATGCCATAAACGTGGTTTGCTCATCGCGTCGTAAATGCGTTAGACACGTTGTCGTTGTACGTTGCACTTTGTCGCGGGTTCAATAGCACGAGGGAATCGATGAAGGTATTACGATGTATGTATATATATGTATATATATATGTACGAAGTATAATTCGTATACGGAAAGGTATAAGCGAGTTACATTAATTGAATTGAATTCGTTAACCGTTAATAAAATAACGTTGAAATTTACCTCAAATAAATTAAAATTACCTTTTTGTAAATAAGATAAATGTGGAAATGCGTATATAATATTTGAATTGTATCGTTCGTTCACGGTTATTAAATAAAAATCGATAGAGATTAGATGGAATCTGTGCAGTTTCTCCTTTTTTTTTTTACAAAAAAATATCAAAAGAGCATTTATCTTAAAACAAATAAATAAGTAAAATGTACGAATCGAAAATTTGCACTCTTCGAATACTTTCGAGAAAACTACTCTAAAAACAACGTAAGAAATAGAACATTGATTATAAATCTAACATATTGAGTATTCGCAAATGAAAAATATAATACATCAATAATAATAAACGAAACGGCGTTTATCTTAAAACAAATAACCAAATAAAACGAATCGAAAATTTGCACGCTTCGTATGCTTGTAAAAGAAGTAGTCGAAAGAGAAACAAACTCGCACGATAATTCTATCCTCGAACAACCCATCCACCCACCCATGCGTCAAACATCAGCAATGATCAGAGGCGATCGGTCACTCGCAATACTCGAACGGACGATTATCCTTCCCTCGATTCACAGGTGGAAGGTTGCGCTCGATCACGCGGTTCGTCACGCGTTTCTTCCTTTCGCGTTTCTCTCGTTCGTCGCCCGGTCGAACCCGTTTCGATAGGCCGGGTCGAGTCGAGGAGGTTCTTTTTTTTTCTCTCTCTCTCTCTCTCTCTCCGCCCTCTCTCCCTCCCTACCAGTGGCATTAATCCGGGCGCTCGTTCGGCCAAGGTGAACGCACTTATTAAGAAGTTGCCGCAACCGACCGTTATCCCGAACCACTCTTCGCGCTCGCGTTTGGCCAGTCGATTTAAATCCGCTCGCTTTTCCACGCGATATTTCAAATCCAACTCTTTTCTCCCTTTTTCATTTTTGCCGATTTTTGGCGAGCAAGAGGGAGTGAGTTATTTTTTTAGAAAATTTAATTTGAAGTTTGGTCTTGAAATTCTTTTCAGAGATGAGAAAAAAGGATTATTGGATTCTTTGAGAAAAGTTGAATTTGAAGTTTGCCTTATCTTGAAAAATTTTTTTCGATGATGAGAAAGGATATTTAATTTTGAAAGGGATTTGGAATGGCCTTGTTTGGATGCTGGAATTTTAATTCTTGGATTTAAGAAAAGTTGATTTTGAAATTTACCAGGTGTTGAAAAATTCTTTTCGACGATGAGAAAAGAGAATATTTAATTTTGGAAAGGATTTGGAATGGTCCACTGTTTTGGTCGAAATTTGATTCTTGGATTTGAGAAAAATTTGAATTTTACGAGTATCGTTGGTTGAATGAAAACAGATGTTATCGTTGTATTTTTTTCTTATAACTTTGTCTCGAAATTCTTGGAAACTCTCGAAATCCAGAACGCTTGTAAATATAATTGGATTATTGTTAGTCGAAGCATGAAAATAGTAGATTCGTATATTCTCGTTCGTACGAATCGTTATTTATCTGCGTATTTCGACGCAGAATAATAATCCTTAGCAAAGAAACCTTGCATCGTATACGTGATACTATTACCTTCGAGTTCAAGGTCATTGAAAAAAATCGGGTTTCTCTTTGATTCGAAGCTGGGATCGTGTGCTGATTTGGCGAAATTTTCCGCTCGAATTTATATCAAAAATACAAATAAAATTGGATTAAAATTACTTTCAATTAGAAATTATTTTAATCCCCAAACTTGTCGAGGCTCGTTAAAATATTCTTATTTTTAAATTCTAAAGAAAAATTACTCACAGAAATTCCAGGACGCTGCGTCACTCCGTTTACATAAAGCTGCAACAATTTCTATGGAAGGTAAACCCTTGTTGATTTCTCTATTTTTCGTTTTTTTTTTTTTTTTATTGTGAAAACTGCGATATATCTCGGTTCGTTTCCCGATTAGAACAATTTTTTCTTTTTCCTCTTCCTTTTCGATCTTCCTCCTTACATCGATATAAATAAATTTGTAAAAAAAATACAACTCGATATTATTTTTCTTTTATTCAAATCCATCGAAGGCACAACCAATTATTTATCTCGAGAAAAGAAAAACATCTTTTTTCATCTCGTCGTATCGTGGGAAATTTTTTTTTTTCAAAAAATTCCAATGTATTTTCACGCAATGCTTAATTAATTCTTAAACAAAGATACGATTATTATTGTTATTATTATTGTTATTACTATTATTATCATTATTATTATTATTATTATTATTATTATTATTATATTTTTTTCCAAGATTCATTTCAACACGAAGACGTACAAAAATATTTTATAAAACTGAAATAATTAAGGGAAAAGAAAAAAAAGAAAGAAAATTTTTTTATCCCTTTAAATTACGCTTACACGCTAAAAATATTAATTGAAAATGTATATATATAAAAAAGTAGAAAGAATAACAATAATTGATTATTTGACGTGTCTATGTACACATTCTCGTGATTCTTAAAATTAAAATAAAAGGAGAAAAAAAAAACGGTAGGTAAAAATCGTAAAACCCCTGCAATAATCGTGATTCATAGAAATCGAATAAATCGCGACATATTTATCGTACGTCGACTTATTTAAAAGTCACGTGTTTTACTCCTGTACCCTGAAAATTCATTATTATAATTATTATTATTATTATTATACTCCATATAGCTTCATTCATTCATCCATCTATCCGAGATGAATGGCAAAATCTCTGTCCGCCTCTCGTGTTCTTTTCGCGAAACTTCCCTCTTATGCGATAATAAATAATACGTATGGTTAAACAGGCCGTATGCTGGTATTATCGACGGAAGCGTAGTGGAGCGCAGTTGAATTGTAACCACGTTATGCGCATGCGCGACGAGCGAAGAAAGGAAATACGACGAAAAAGAGAATAAAAGAAAAAAAAAAAAAGAGGATTTCGAACAACGTAATCTCGAATCTTGTGATCCGTTTAGCAAGTCGCAAGTCCTCGTCACAATGGCCGCTAACGAGAGACATTCACGCATCGACTCTCACGCAACAACACTCATCATCTGTCGGGCCGTGTTCCAACTCGCAACTTTTTCACTTTGGACAAGTTTGGTCGAACTGTACTGCCCTCTTTAGTTCGTTTTCCTTTTCTTTCTTTCATTTTTCAAATAATTATTAGTTTGAAGTTTCGTTCACAGGATTCGTTAAATTATCTTTGTAAATATTATTTGCTACTTGGAAGGAGAAGATACTTTTTATCGATTTATTACGCGAGATATTACGATATTAATAAAATATGAACGTTGTTCACGTAAAATGTTAATTCATTAATTCGTTGATCCAGAGACTTTAGTTTCCTTCTCGCAAATTAGTTAGTTAGGATATTTCGATCTAAGGAGGACAGTGATGTAACATCGACGAAAAATTCTGTTATTTCCAAATCGTGAAATCGAGCAAATGTGATTCGATTTACATCTGTTTCTGCTCGAGCAAACGATCGGATGCAAGTTGGAACGCGGTCTTCTTTATCGACTAACAATATATAAGTAATACAAGAAGTATAGTATTTTTTTCGAGATGCTCAACCGAACGAGTTGTATAAACGATGGTTTTTTTATATATATATATATACATACATATATATATATATATATAAAATTTTGTTCGTTGTTATCGACCTGAAAATACTACATTTAAGAGAGAGAAAGAGAAATATATATATAAATACTTGGCCTATTATTTCGTAAAATTTCGATTTTCAAGGTCACACCAAGATCATCCTCTTAATAATAATCACGAAATAAGAAGAGAGATCAGTGAAGATTTTGAAATGACCTTGAAAATCATAAAAAAAAAAAAAAAAAAAAAAAAAATCGACGCTTGGATTTACGATCGCATTGCGCTCAAGAATCGAAAGACAGAAAAAGATCCAAGGATCATCGATCGAAAGGGATCGAAAGTCTCTCGATCCGATCAACGAAATGAATCGCAATCCTCGAAATCACTTTTCCAAAACGAGAGAGCACATAGACATTTAACTCGAAAACGATGTATCGATCGAGAACGATATCGTAAATTCGCATAAATTCGATCGTGATTATTATTCAAACCTTCGAGTTTTGGTTTCGAATCCAAAAGAATAACACCATAAGTTGCGTACGTGGCAACGAAACGCTGTACAAGACCACCGTGAAAAAAAGAAAGAAAAAAAAAAAAAAAGAACGCAGGTACATTTGATACACAGATATACGAAATACGAGCGTACTGGTTGCTCCACCGAGCATTTCGACCGATCGACGAGATGGAAGAACAGTATATATATATATAGTCAGCGAGCGAGAGCCAGTCGAGGGTTTGGAACACGGCCAGTCAGTCACTTCCTGAACACACCACCGGATGCCTTGAGGAGCCACTCACCTGCAGCCCTGTTACAAGCCTCCTTGGTCTCGTTCAGCTGTTGCCTGTCGCTCGTAATCGTCGTGCTGGCCTTGCACTCGAGCGCCTTCAGAGCGACATCTCGATCGTGATTGGTCAACGAGAACGCGTTGGCGCCACTGTTCCTCGACGCGTCGAGAACGTCTCCAGGCCGTTCCACGATTGGCAACCCTCGCCCCGAGTCCGCCATCGAGCCGCGCTGCTGCTGCTGCTGTTGCTGTTGCTGCTGCTGTTGCTGTTGCTGTTCCTGGAGTAAGCAGGCGCTCGACAACAGGTCCCACTGTCGCAGCTTCTCCCGATCGAGCTCGAACGCCGCGGACGCGGAGATCGAGCGAACCGAGGGAAGGTTGCCTTCCTCTAAAAAATGATCTCTGTCCTCGGTGATCGCAGTAGTGTTCGTGGTTGCGGTTGTAGTGGTAGTGGTTGCGTCGATGGTGCTCGCCTTGCGATAGGCCTCGTTCTGCGCGTCCCAAACATAACCCCCCGCGTGAATCCGCTCCATCGACAGGCTCTCGTACGTCAGATCGTCGACCACCTCCTCCTCCTCCTCCCTATCTTCCTCTCGCTGCCCCTTATCTCCCCCTCTCCGTTTCATCACTCGAGGCCTGTCCTCCAGAGGGCAGAAGTTATCCCTTCCTCTCGAGAGAATCACGCTGTCGTTCACGTAGGTGGCGCCACGGGTGATCTTGTTCCTCGCTCCTCCTCCTTTCGAGTCCGAATTTGGCGCCACGGTTGGCTGCTGTCTGGGAGCTTGGTTGTCCAGATTGTCCAACGACCTGGCGTTCCGCAAACTCACCCTTCGAAGGCTCTCCCTCCAGAGGAAATCCTGTTCCCAAGGATCGTCCGCGTTGAAGTTGCTCGTCGAGGAGGAGACTTGGTGACGATTGATGGTCATTTCATTATTATTGCTCGCGTTCGGAGCAGGTTGCTCGACCTGGGTCGGTTGAACGGCGGCCACCGCGCGGTTGCTTCTGTTTCGCTGCTCGACCAGGTTCTGAAGGCCGACGTCGTCCAACAGGCCCTCCAACGATCTCGATCTTCTGTGAGACGTCGTCTGCGACGCGTCCAACGCCTCCCGATTACTCGTGTGCTGCCCGTTCGACTTGTCCCGCAACCCGTGCGGGTACAGGTTCCTGGCGTTGATCTCGGGCGAGGAGATGTCGGGCAGAGGGTCGGTGGACTTCACCCTCCTCAGCGTGTCGGATTCGTAAAAGTTCTTCTTGTCGACAAGGTCCGCCTTGTTGTCGCCCAACAATTGGCAGGTCGTCTTCCTGAGCTCGGCCGCTATCCGCCTCGCCTCGTCGATGTCGTCCACCTGAATCTGTCTGGGCACCTGCCTCGAGATAGGATTCACTATACGGCCTATGTCGTTCCTCTTGCTGTTCATAGCCGAGGCGTCGTCCCTCTGATTGTTCAACTGCGGCAACCTGGACGTGTGACCGATAACTGGTTTCTCCCTTGCCTCGGCCACCGTGTCCACCGCGTTCGAGCTCGCTTGGAGGTCCGAGTAGTAATAGGGGGCGCTCGATTGCTGGCTGTGGGGCCGAGGCTCGCTCGGTAAGTACGACTGAGGTGGGCAGGCGGCAGGTTTGACCGAGAAATGGGCGGAGTCCTGGCTGGACGAGGATCTGCGGTTCGAGTATCGGGCGGAATCCTGACTGGCCGATCTCGAGTGATGATTCTGGAAGCGTTGTTGGTCGGGATAGGGAGGAGGGGTAGCAAGGCTGGCAGTCGCGTTGCCAACCGTCAAATTCGAAGCGGTGGGAGAGTGGCGGTGGTGGATGGACGAGGATTGGGCACTGGCCGGCCTCTGGCAAGCCATCGAGGTGGAGATCGAGTAGCTCGACTCCCTGCTGTGCGAGGGGGCCAACAGATTGCTCTGAGACCCGATTCGAAGCCTGTGACCGGTCTCGTTCTCCGGCGTTCGAACGGCCGGCGAACACCTGAGCGGTGAGAAGCTCGAGATGTTCTCGTAATGAGCGTCCCCCCCCGTGAACGATTGCGAGTGCTGGTGGGACGGTGGCGCGTCGCTCACCCTCATCGAGGGCAAACTGCTCGCCGACCCCATTTTGTTCGCGTATCTCGCCTCGAGAGCCACCCTGCCGTTCAATCGCCTCGCGCTTGACGGGTCGTGGCTGATCGTAGTCGCCTTCCGCTTCTCCATCGCGCCCTCGTTGAACCCGTAAATGTTGTTGTAACTCGGCTCTCTCGCGTACAGGTCGACGTTGAACGCGTCCCGCGCCTGCAACTCCTCCAGATACCTGTCCAGGTCGATGCTCGCCCCGTCGAAGCGGCTGCCAAGCGACTCCAACTCGTCCAAACTGTCCAGGACCTCGCACACCTCGCTCACGGGCCTCGTCTTCAACTGTCTGTGCCTCGCCTCCTCCTCGGCCGTCCTGGGGGGCTCCGCCGCCACCGAGTCGCTGCCCGAGGCGCTCTCCAGAGAGACTCGGCTGTCCCTGAACGCGGACCCGATCGTCGCGTCCGAGAATCTCGAGGCTGGCCTGTGCTGCTGCTGCTGCTGCTGCTTGCTGCTTGCCTCCGTCCTCGGAACTTGAGGCGACACTTTCTTCATCTCGATGGAGGAGGACTCCTGCGCGTCCAACGAGTCCAACTCGTCGAGGGGCGGGGGGGAGGTTGGGATAGGGGGCGGGGAGACCAGCTCGCTGTCCGAGGAATCGTGCAGCTCGGCTATCATGGCCCGGCTCGCGCCCAGATAATACGAGGCCGGCCTGAACGTGTCGGACAAGCTGAACCTGGGGTGTCTCGGCGCGTCGATCGAGTCGAGATCCTTGGACGACTCGTCGTCCGCGTCCGAGCTGTCCGACTTCAACGCCGTCAAGATGTCGGGGAGATCGGCCGCTCTCGACTCCTCGCGCGACCTCCTCTTCCTGCCTCCTCCCCCCTCCTCCTCCTCCTCCTCCTTCTCCGACAACTGGCTCACCTCCATGTATACAGGCTCCATCTTGCTGTCAGAGACGCACACGAACTCGTAGTGGGGCGCGTTGTCCAGGGTGGAGTATTCGGCCGAGGGGGCGAGCAGGGAACGGCCTGTCCCGTTCTGGGCCATCTCCACGTACGAGCTCTCCTCGTGCTCCAAATTCGCGAACAGGCTCTCCATCATCTTCGGGCTCGGCCTGTTCTCGTCGCTCGGGTCCAATATCGCTTTCCTAGGCGACATGGGGAGGTAGTGCTCCTCGGCCGGGCTCACGGACTCCTCCTCCTGCTTTATCGTCGGACTCGTGGTGCCGCTCTCGTCGGACGAGCGATCCCCGTCCACGTGGGTCAACAGGGACTCGGTCACGCTCAACCTCCCCCCTCGACTCGGATTCGACGACGACAACCCCTCCTCGAGGACCTCTTCATCTTCCTCCTCCTCCTCCTCCTCCTCCTCCGTTTGAGCGGCCCCGGAACAGGATCCCTTGTTGCGTCTGAAGGCCACGTCGCCTCTCTTCCTGCAAGGATCCCCGTCGTGACGACGATGGCGGATCGTCTTCGTCGCGTCTTCCTCCTCGTTCTTGTCGCAGCGCTCTTGGTCGCTGCCGGTGTCGTACAGCAGCGCCTCCGAGTCGCTGAACACCCCGCGATGCCTCGCCTCGGCCGTCGCCATCTTGCCACTGGCGCCCTGCTCCCGCGACTTCCTCTCGAAATCGGCCAACAGGTCCTTCACGGATTTGTTGCTGTCCGTGGACGCTTGCTTAGCGTGGCCTGCGTCGTCCCCCTCGACTCGAGCCGTCGAATCGTCGGCCTTCGACGATCCACGGCCGTGCCTCGACTCGCCGAGAGCGAAATTTCGTATGACGGAGGAGGGGGCGGAAGTCGTTCCTTTCCACTTCTTCGCGCAATCCAGCTTCGAGACGTGCGCCTCGGTCGCCTGGAGGGGGGACACCTTCAACGGCTCCTGCATAGCGAGCGATTCCTCCTCCTTGACCTGGGACCCATCCACGAGAAACGCGTTGCTCTCGAACGAGCGTATCCTGTATCGCACCAGGTTGTCCACCCTGACCTCCTCCTCCTCCTCCTCCTCCTCCTCGTCCACCCCCTCCCTAGGCTTTATATACTGGTAAGAAAATTCCCTCACCACCTTGCTCTCCATGTTCGAATCCCAGTCGTCCTCTGCCCCCCTCCCTCCCCACTGGACCGTCTTCTGCCAAGTGTCCGAACCTGTCCTCCCTAACAACCCTTGTTCCTCGTTACCGTATACCGTGCACGTCTTCAATATACCAGCTTTCTTCCCGCGTTTCTCATCTTCGTCTTCGTCTTCATCTTCGTCCTCTTCCTCCTCGTCGAGCTCCTTGTTCGACCTTTGCTCCTCCGTGGGGACAAGTTGGGCGGCAGGTGGCGGAGGATCGATCCTGGGGGGGGAGGGGAAGCTCACCTCCTCGTAGCCCGCGTCGGGCGGTATGGTGCCGCTTGGGTGGGGAGGGGGAGGGGGGCTCGTTCGGCGGTCGTTGGTCGCCGTCCGTCGACCGTTTTGCGCGGTTTGATAGTGGTTGCGGTGGTTGCGATGGTGGTTGTAGCCGCAGTTGGTAGTCCCGCGATGGATGCCGCCGCCATCTTGATGCGAATTAGCCGGAGCACGATTGCTGTTGTTGTTGTTGTTGTTGTCTCCGATTGTCGAGTGGTGGCGGGGGCTCCTTATCCCTGCATGCGAGGGTCTGCGCGTTCGCTTCCTCCGGACATCTCCCAGCTCTGATTTCGTCCGTTACGGAACAAACACACAACGAGAGGAACGTTCGTTACTCGTTACGAGTGTGTGCGCGCGTGTGTGTGTGATAGGTGTAGGTGTGCGACTGTTCAATCCAACCCCCTCCCTCCCCTTGCGACGCGATAATACAAAAGCGGAGGAAGCTTTGGGAGAGGGGAGGGGAGGGGAGGGGAGGGGATCGATATCGATCGTTGCGAGAAACATCCGTTTCGATCTAAACAATCATCTCTTCTCCATTCTTCGAAATTTTTTGGTTATTATCGTTATTGAGAATCGTTTCGATCGGTTACGCGTAGTATATATGGTGACGAGTCACGCAACGATCCGTGAAACCGTCAATTTTTTCATTGGTTTTGTTATTGAGGAGAGGCATGTGTAGGGGAAGGTGGAATGGCGGGTGGCGAGAGAGTTGAAACGGCTCTACGGATAGTGTTAGTTAGAATATATATATATATATGTATATGTATAATTATATATATATATATATATATATATATAAAATTCCTCGACATGCCATGCTGACCCACATCTTGCAAAGTAGTATTACTCGGATCTAGTGTTAGCTCGGTAACGGACGGTATCGCTAGTTAAATTCCAAAGGTGTTAATATCGTTCCCATTCACCAGTCACAGCCCAGACCCCCAACAGCAGCAGATAGAGAAGGAGCCCCGGTACGGAGAGAACGTATTCTCTGCGCGGATTTCTATTTCTTTTGTCTTTTGTCTATTTACTTATTTATTTATTTTATGTTTGTTTATGTTATATATAAGTCGGTTTCCTTCTATCCGGCAGGATAGAATTCTCTCCAAACATCCTTTTTTTGCTATCTACGAATATCTTGATCTAGCCCTCGACTCGGAGAGGGAGAAGGATGGATGGCTTGGCGATAGAGAGAAGAACAGCTAGAGAGATATAGATAGATAGATAGATAGATAAAGAGAGAGAGAGAGAGAGAGAGAGAGAGAGAGAGAGAGAGAAAGAGAAATAGGAGAGCACGGACGAGCAAGTTTCGCAGCAGGCGTCGTCGTAAACACGTCGCACGTGTACACTTTTTTTATCTCGTTAACTCGACACGAGTATATTTGCTCGTTTTTTGTTAGTTCTTTTCCACAAGAGGAGTTGATTAATTTAGAATTAACACGTGTGATTATTCGTGATGCATACGGATTAATATATTGTTATATCAAAACTCTCGATCAAAGGCACTTTTGTTTATTGATTTAGCGTTTAGAAAAAAAATATATATATATATATATATAGATATAAACTCGTTATTATTCATGCGCAATCAATATCTCGCTTTGTTTCCATTTGTACGAAAATATATATATATCTTTGGTTAACGTGTTCTTTTCTGACGCGATCTCTCGTGCACAAAAAAAAAAAAAAGAAAAAGTAAAACACCATACAAAAGCATTTCTTTCCATTCGTTTCTAAAGTTTTATTATTATTTTTTTTTTTTTTTTTTTTGCGCAGAACACACGCGTGAATACTGTGTTAGAGCGATTACGTATTGGTTAGAATTTGCTATACTTGGACACAATTCAGCTAGAGTTCTACTTAAGAGTTCTTTAGAGAGACGCAAATGTAATCGCATTCCTGGGACCCGAAAAATTCTGCGTAATTCTCCCTATTTTAGAGAAGAGAGTATTGAAGAGAACTTGATTTATATTAATGCTAAGAAGCAATAATTGAGATTTGAGTTGAATTAAACTTCGTTTTGATACTACTTTTTTTTCTGATAAAAAAATATATCACTTTTGAACGTGTTTCGAAGAATCATTTGATAACATAAAACGATTCACGATTTTACGAAAATCTTTCGATATCTTTCGATGATTTTTTTTTAATATATCGTCAAAATAGCGTTACGAAATTTTTACTCGACGTTGTAAAAAATAAACAAATGAAACCAAAAATCCTCGCATTACTCAAAGCTTGACGCCATATTAAAAACCCTCAAACTTTCCAATCAACTTATTCCCTAAGCTCGAAACTACAAAAGAAGAAAAAGAAGAAAAAAAAAAACCACACAAAAAGCAAAAGTAATAGCATCCAAAAACGAAGTTTTCACCTCAAACTTTCCCAAACACCATGACACGTTATTATATATTCCCTCGATATTTTATATATAAAAAGGGAAAAAAATTGGCAATAGATTTGGGATCGTCTACGAGCGTCTAAAAATTAAGGAAGTTGCTCTATCGGGCGGATAAGCGGAGAACAACACGGTCCCAGGAACGTGGTGAAAGCCACAATTCAGATAATAAGTTCAGGCGAGGTGTCCCTACCTTCGTCGTCGCTGGAGTAGCTGTTGTACCGCGAAACGTTGGCGACAGTCCTCCTCCCGTCCGTGCTCTTGCTGCGCGCGTGCGGCCGATGACCACCGTCCTCCCTTCGCCTCGAGTGGCGGCCCTCGGCGACCGACGCCTCGTGGGCAGCGAGATCGAGTAGCGCCTGCTGCTTGTAATAGGTGGACAGCTCGTTTTGCGCGCGGCCTCTGTTTGCCGAGGCCGATGGCTTCCGGGTAAGCGGCGACTGCAGCATCCGCTGCTTCCATTCCAGCAACCGCTTCATCGACTCCTCGCGCTGTAATCACCCACGCATCTCGTTCGAGTCTTTGCCTTGACTTTTCTCTTTCTCTCTTTCTTAAAACGCTGTTTGAGAGAGAGAGAGAGAGAGAGAGAGAGAGAGAGAGAGAGAGAGAGAGAGAGAGAGAGAGAGAGAGAGAGAGAGAGACGTTTATAATTACCGTAAGATTTTCTTTTCGACGAGGGTTGGTTGGAATGGTTCGTAAGAATCGAGATGTTTGGAGTGGAAATTGAAGAGAGTATTATAGTTTGGCAGTTGGTATTTTTCAAAAGATCGATAATTTTACGAAAATTGTTATATAAATATTATTTTTTGGAAGGATTGATTTTAAAGTTGAAAGAAAAAATATCGGTCGAGTTATTTATAGACATTTTGTTTTTTCTATTTATATGATCTCGAAAATATGTATTGACACGATTTATATGGTAGCGTTGCTCGAATAAAATAATCGCTCGAAGGAAAAAATGGGGAAAAAATTTAAAATTGGTGGCACGTGGTATTCGGACAATTGTATACGTTGTACGATCGAAGAATCGTGAAGGAATTAGAGTTCTCCACGAGTCCCATGATCGAGGAAAAGAAAGAAGGAGGAGTGATTGAAATTCCACGCGAGGCGAAGTAACGTTTCGCGTTCGTGGAAGGGCGCGAGGAACGCGACGATGACGAGGATGAAACGGAGTCGCGGTGAAAGCAGAATCACGGGACGTGACATAGATGGTCGTGCAGGTTGCACCTTTCGCATGAATCATCTCACTAGTGCGGCTACGAATTGTCCTGTCCGTCAACCAGCCGACACGCTGGTTGCACGATTACGCCATGGAAAACCGATTTATTAGTCATCCCCGTTTACGAGGCGTGCTCGCCTTCCAGAAAGTATTCGTAACGCGACATCCGGCCGATTGGAATCTCGATACGGTTTTCCGCTCGATCGATAAATTCTGCTCCATTGATTCTATTTTAATAATATTCGGGAATTTTTTGTTGGCTCGTTCCACTTTCGATTTCGTGGTTATTTTGTGGAAATAAAGTAAACCCACTTTTGAAATTGCAATTTTAAAATATATTTTAAAAATATAAACATAATTTTAGAGAATAACGAACGTAGAAACGTATACGTATATAAAATATACGATTATATAAAAACTTTACCTTCGACTTGATATTTCGTAAAATTCTTAGAACGATAAATAGAAAACCAAGCGCAATAACGTTAACCCATAACCATTAATTCAAGGTCGCCTTAATGGGAGCCAAACAACGCGACTCGACAAACGCGCGAAAAAGCTAGGCCAAAGAAACACTTTACTTCTTAACACATAAATTCTTCTTGATCCCTTAACAAAACTTTTAAAAACGCGTTTAAATTCACAAAATATTTATACAAGTTTCTACAAGTGATAGACATCGATCAAATATAAGACGCGTAAGGATGTCGTCGAGATACAAAAGAGATGTGCGAAAAAATGTGCGAAAACATCGTCACACGATATCGAAAACACGACGAATGTAACCAACCTGTTGTATCTTTCGTTCACCATCCCGCGAGTCCTGCTCGGACGATCGTTCGTAATCGTCGTCGTCGGGGTCCAAGGTGGCCGGGTGCCTGGTCCTCGGTAGGCGCGCGGATGCCGACCTGCAGAACTGTTGCTGCTCGTTCCATCGTCTGGCGGCGGCGTGAGAAGCGTGACACGGTTGGCCCACGTGAGCGCTACCCTGACTCGTCCCCCTGTTTCCCCACCCCATCGAACACTCGTACTCGCGTGGAATTCTTCGCGGCACCGTCCCTTCCTCCGCCATATGACTCAGCATTTCTCGGCTGCTCGCCTCGTAACTCTTCTCCCGCAACGACCGCCTCAGCTTCGCCTCGTTGCTGCTCATTCTGAATCCAATGATAACGAATTCGATATTTGATATGATTTTTTTTTAAGTTTAGTCGTATTTTTTTGCGCTTGAACCATAGATGATAGCTTTGCTTTGAATCGAAAAGTAGATTATACACGTATATTTTTTTTAGATCTGGTTGTGTTTTTATAAAGATCGTTTTAGTTTTGTTTTGTTCACTTTCGAATCGAAATTTGATACGTTTTTTTTTTTTTTTTTTAGCTTTCTTGTTGTTGTCCATTTATACTGCGTATACAGTCGAGCTAATTCTATAACACGATTAATCCGCACGGTTATCCGTGTTGTATTGAAATCGCGAAGCGAAACTAAAACTAATTTAATTCGAACGAACGTGTTGAAAATGTCAACAAAAATAGATTCGCGCTATATGATGGTTATTGTAATTTAATTTTTTGTGTACGCATTGGTACAGTTTAATTCGTGCAATTGATTCTATTTTATTAATGTGATTTAATTTTAATCTAATTATTAAAAAAGCATCATTTTTCATAGATAATATGCATGGAAATTTGTTTCTACAAAATGCGTTCGTACTTGTTCAAGTGGATTGAAACAAAACAATAAAAAGAAAGCATTTGTATGCGACACCATTATTGTAAGAACATTGTAAAACACAGGCAGCGTTTCTTGCAGATGCGCATTATCGATTTTCAGTTAAGTAAATGGAATGTCTAGTTGCATCAGGTGCGGAGAAAACCGCAACTAAAAAAAGTATCGAAAATAACGCGACACTTGGAATTTCAATAACTTGCAAAATTCCATAAAATCTATTCTAAGACTTTCTAAAAATTTTCAATTTTCAATTTAAAATTTAAAGAAGAACATTTTTTTTTCTTTTTTATATTCCAACGAAAAAAATATCGAAAAAGATACTATAGTATTATTCACAGGTATATTCTTCATACGTTGGAGAAGAAAGTATAGAAGATTGATGGACAGTGACTCACTCGGTATGCCGTTGAAGCGATTGGTGAGGTATCACGTGTTGCTGATGAACGTGTTGTTGTCCCCGCCTCAGGCCAGAGCAGGAAACTTCCGGTAGCGTAGCTATCCTACTTTCGTCGCTTCTGTCGCGGATCCCAGTCGCTTTCGAGGGCATTGTCGTCCGGGAAAGCGATTGGTTCCTTTGTTGCTGGTGATGCTGGGGCGTCTGGTGGAGATAAACCGCGGATTGCCGCATCTGTGCCGCGTATCTGCGCCCAACACACGTGTCATTCAAATGACGAAAGAAATAAAAAAAGTCGCGAGAAGAATATTTCTTATAATATTATTTTTTTATATATTATTTTTTATATACTATTTTTTATATATTATTTTTTATAGATTATTATTATTAGAATATTTTTTACATATTATTCACAAACTTGGCAGGAATCGATCGGGAATTAAAATTAAATTAAAATGGTCGAAATGGTGTGGATTTTTTTTTCTTTTTTTTTTCTTCTAATTGAAAAAAAAATGGCGCAGTTAAAAATTATCCAGAGATTTATTACCTTTCCTCGGAATAAAAGTATCCATCGTTCGCTGCGTCCGACGGAGTGACTATGTCTAAACTCGATTTAGGCCTCTGTGGACGCCTCTGTTGATTCACCGATTCCTCGCATTGCGGCGGCATCTGCTGTTGAGGCTTCCTGATCGCCTCGTACTCCAAGAAGTCCGCGCTGTGCGGCCGTGGCGGTGGCTGCGCCCTCGGCTGCCTCATTATCGGCACTGAATCAAAACCATTCTCTCCTTTTCTCTACTTTCGTCACATCGCTCCTTAAATTTTCCTCCCCCATTATATTATATATTATATATATATATATATATGTTCTTAAACGCAAAAAAAAAATATTCTTAGAATATGACCGTTCATATACCACAATATTAAAAATATTTATTGATTTCCAAGACAATAATTGTCATAAATAAATTGTTCATCGAAATATATAAAAAAGTATTCTTCAGGCTCTCTCTACATTTACATCAACATCCGCAATTAAACGATTAAAATCAATACTGAATATATCTTTCTCACCATTCTCAAAAAAAAAATCTCTATACTCTTCAACCCAAACCGGCCCAAAATTCGCTCTAACCATCCCTCCCTCGTATTCACACAGAGGACAATCTACTCTAATTAACAACACCTAAAACTCTACTCACTGTTCGCGACGCCGGGATGTATCGGGTGCTGGTACTGATGATGTTGTTGCGCGTAAAGGGGGATCGGGATGGGGGCGGGTGAGGCCCCCTTCGTGTATCCGACGGGGCCTGCCGGCCTCTGGTACAACTGTGGCGCCCCGTAAACCTCCTCGTAATCGCCGTTCCCTCTCCCCGACCTCGGTTTAGCCGCGCTGCGCCCGTACGTGTCAGGTGTGCGCCTCTCGGTCTGCGCCTGCGCCTGGCCCCCCCCGTAACCGTAATTCAAACCGGACTTGTCAGTCCTGAGACTCTGCTGCGACGGTTGCCCCGCAACGGATCTACTTCCCCCTCCATAGATCACGCTTCCCCTTTCGTAGTCGGACATTGGACTCTTGCTGCCCGTGGCCATCGTGGCGACGTCCGGCGAAACGGGCGATTTTCTGTAATCGGGATCGGGGGAGGGGGTGGAGTACTCGGTCGAGCCGTCGGTTATCCGCCTCGGTTTAGGGGGCGCGTTCGCGTAAATCGGTTGGCCGAACTTCCTCGGCATAGGTTGGACAGTTTGCACGTTGGTCAGATGGGTTTGTTGAGGTTGTTGGGCTTGTTGCTTGTTGTGTTGAAGGATCTGGGTTGGATGGGGCAGGTGAGTTTGGTGGAGCAATGCTTGGTGGTGGTGGGAGTGGGGATGAGGGTGGGGGGTTTGTTGGCTGGCCATCACGACGGATGATATCAATTGGTTGTATTGTTGTTGTTGTTGTTGTTGTTGTTGTTGTTGTTGAGAGGTGCTCGGTTGGCCGTAAGGGGATTGCTGTTGTTGGATCCAGCCGTTCACCATCGGTTGGACGTCGTTGGACGAGTTGTTGTTGTTGTTGTTCCCGGCGAGGATGATGTTGTTGTTGTTGTTGGTGGTGGTGATGGTGGCGTTGTTGTTGTTGCTGTTGCCGCTGCTATTTCCATTGTTGCTGTTCCCATTGCTGCCGCTCAGGTTAGGAAAGGAGGCGGTGTTCACGCTGTTCGGGCTGGAGTTGTTGTTGGACGCGTGGCTGGGATCGTCGCGCGACTGGAAACCGTGGAAACCGGAATCGCTGTCGTCCGCGCTCTGGTTCAGGATCGAGGATATGGAGGAGACGCTTGGCCTCGCGCTTCGCTCGCCGTCCTGCTGCCCTCCTATCTCGATCACCACCGCCGCCTCACCGCCTCCGCTGAAACATTCGACATTTCGTTCGCCTCGTTATTTGGTTATTTTTTGTTATTCGAGGGTTTATTAAAGGATTATTGAGAAAGATCTTTGGAAGACTTGGAACGATTTCGATTACGTGACGATATTATGTTATAAATTTATATAAATTTTAATAAATTATATTTATTATTTATTTTATTATATTTATTATATTTATTATTTATTTTATTATATTTATTATTTATTTTTATTTTATTTATTTATTATTATTATTTATTTTTATTTATTATTATTATTATTTATTTTATTATATTTATTATATTTATTTATTGTAAAATAATATAAATTTATTTAAATTTATATAAATTATGTAAATTTCGAAAATTTTCGTTTTAAAATTTGGGAAAAAGTTTTTCGAGTTTGAGTTGTCGAACTTTCTTTGGAATATTGGAGGGTGGACAACGAGGAGGAGGAGGAGAAAGAGAATGTGATTAGAGACGTTGTGGCAAAATTTGGAAAGGGTTTGAAAGTTTTTTTAAAATTTAACGAAACGACGAATTTAATTAGATACTCTTTGGTTCCGGAGAAAAAGTGATTTGACGCGAGATAAGGGAGCGAAGATCCGACAAAGGATAATTTTATTCCCGTAGGACCGTTTTAACTCGGGGATAACGTGTCAGAATTTCGACTCTGTTAAATATTTATTGGGATGTATAAATATATATTTTGCGGTGTTTCGGTAAATCGGTAAAGAAGGATTTATATATATAGAAAATTGAACGTTCAGGATAGTTTCGACGTTATTTTAAAACCCTGTCAGTCTAAAAACGTTTGCATTTGATATTAATTCAGACTCAAAAAGGAATAAACGAGGTTGCCAATTATATTTGCAGGAAAGACAGAGAGAGAGAGAGAGAGAGAGAGAGAGAGAGAGAGAGAGAGAGAGAGAGAGAGAGAGAGAGGTCTCGCCGAAGTTGGTGAAAATTTCATCGCTTCATTTGATTTGTTAAGATATAATTAAAAATATTGTTAAGATATATTAAGACATAACGCGAAAGATCACGTCTCCTGAACTTTCTTTCTCTTTATAATTATAATTTAAAATTTGACGTTTGGAAGAATTTGATTATTTCATTTGCGCGACGGGGATATTTTGTTTTTAACTGAAATTTAATAATCCATCCTTTTCGCATAAAAAAAGTCTCGCTCGTGTGATTTTCAGCTTTATACGACGAACTGTTTTTTTTTTTTCCCCTCCCTATTTCCCCGCTTTCGTGCAACATGCGTATATTTCACTTTTATATTAATCCTTTAATCCAATTTAAAACCCAATGAAATGAAATGTTAGACCTAGCAGAGATATTAAAAACACGTTTACAATTTCAATTTCGCTAAAATTTTCATTTCTCATCTTCGTGTTCGTTTTTTTTTGCGCGCGCGACATTAGATAAATTTTTCACTGTTACGATATTAACAGTGTCATGATATTGTAATATTTTAATATGGGGGGAAACAAAGGTGTAAAATCGTTCATAAATCTCTGAAAAATTAGTTCGCACAATAAATCGAAAAGTTTCATTGTCCAGAACGCTTTATTATTAATGATAATATATTTCTGGCTTAAATAAATTAAATTAAAAATATCGTAATTAATTAAATCGAAAGCAAATTTCTTACTCATTTCCTTTAATAATATCCAATATATTATTATAAAAAAACTACACAAGCGTAAATATCAATAATTGAACGCGTGCGAATGCAATTAGGAAAATACGTAATAAAATAAGTAATTAACTAAAAAGACACACAGTGCAAACAAAGATCGATGAATCCTAAAGCTTTGAGAGTTGCACAGTCGTTAACTTCGAATACGGAGAGGAGAGGAAATTCTAATAGCAAACACGAGACAGTTTCGCAGTTTTTTCGAACCGAGCAACTACAAACTCTCGCCTGTGTTTATTCGTGGCCAACTTCGAGAGAGCAAACGAACGAAGCCGATCAAAACCCGCGATCCTCGGCGCACACTTTCGTGAAAGCGGATAGGAGAAGCGAGGGAAGAAGACGGGCATCGAACCGAATTCCTCGGTTTGTTCGCCCGTGTTTCTCTGTTTACTTTCGCCTAATTGCATGGCAAATCGGCCGATTACCACTTGCGTTCCCGTATTCGAATTTTTGCAATGCAAAAAGCATTTGTTTCGAAAGCCTTTGCCGTTTGTTTGTCGGCGATAAATAATGGCGAGAAACGTTTCTTGTTATATTCGTTTTGAAACAAGTGAGATGATATTTTCATTCCTCGTGAGAATACTATTGTCCGTTGTTGAAAAAGAAGTCTCGCGAAAGGAATGCTTACAGTCTGATTGGTTAACTTGGATAGCTACAATTTGTAATGATAGTTTAATTTATAAATGTAATTTTATATTCGAGTAGTTAAGATAATAATTATATACGAATAGATATATTAATAGTGCATCGAAATAATTATATAGTTTCGAAAATATTTCTTGAGTTCTTCTATTTATGTAGCGTGTGGTATCAGGATCGTCAACAAAGCGTGTGAAGTGGGGATAAATGGTCCTAGCGAAGGACCCCTCTTGCCCCTGTGCCGTCCCGCGAGACTTTTTTTCCGCCAGAGAACAGTACACTTATCTTCGGTTTCGCTTTCGTTGAATTATTATATGATGGAGTATGTTTATACATTTGTGCAAAGTTGAAATACACGAAACAATTTCCATAGAATGCATAAAAAGAGAAAAAATAAAGCATTAAGCATTGCGATAATTAAAGAAATTAAATCCTCGTTCAAGTTCTACAATTTCGTATAAATAGTCCATTTATTACGAATAGATTCGTGTATTCTTACGTTTCTTAGTATATTTTATAATAAAATATACTATATACTTATAATAAAAGATAGTACGATTTTGTATAGAATAATTTTATATTAATTCAATTCGAAACGAGAAAATTATATGAAATTTTTTATAGCTATAACAATGATAATTTAGAAGAAAACGCTTTTTTGTTTTTATTTGTCACATACTGATCCAAAACGATCTGTATATAAAGCTCGATGTATCAGCGTAGACATTTTATTCAGAATATTTTAACATATAATATAAAATTATTTTTATTTCTCGTAATACGCCTAGGCTAATTACGATTTGTAACGAGTTTAATTTATAAATATAATTTCGTATTCGAATAGTTAAGCTAATAATTATACATATACGAATATTATCGAAATAATTAATAGTTTCGAAAATATTTCAACTTCTGAATCCTAATAAAATGATTATCGATTTTGAATCGGTTGAAACTATAGCTCTTTTACTATTATTATTATACAATAGTATCAACAGATTTGTCAACAAAGCATGTAATAGGCGGTTTCCTGAGTCTCCCGCGAAATTTCTTTCCAGTCAGTGAACAATACAGACGATTCATATTGAAAATATTGATCTCGGTTGGTAGGTAGAGCATTGAAAAAGTAGAAACTACTTGAAAATAAGATTACTTCAAATAATTATTCATTAAAATGCTCGAATAACATTTATTCGTAACTACTTATAGTTGATCCAATCTTTTCTATAGTAAACCTCTACACTGTTGCCACTACAATTATTCAGAAATTATTCTTTTGAACTTATCGAAGTTCTTTTGAACTTTCTTTCGAAATTATATCGAAGTAATTTTATTTTCAATTTCGACTATCAAAATTTCACCGTCTATATTGCTATATTGGCGTAAAGTGCGTGAATTGGATACTTAGGGCACGAAATGTGAGTCGTACTTACGGGCTTGGATCCTGAAGGAGAGTGGCCAAAGTCAATGCGTTCACCCATTGATTCATGCTCTCACGGCTGTCGGCCGCGAAGTGATAGGTCCTCATGTTCGCGTGTTCAGCTTTGAACGCGAACTTCCTGTTAACTTTGTCCTCTGGTTTGCACACGGTAACTCTGTACGACGGCAACAATATCGAACCCAATAATTTCTCCTCTTCAGGACCTGAAATTAATTTTTTTTTTTTCTTCTTTTGAATCTAATTTTTGACCGATTGAACACGAAACAAAAATAATTTCTCGACGTTCGAAACTCGAGAAAAAAAGGGAAACTCGAGGAAAATAAAGGGAGTGAAACGGAATTCTCGATATAATTTTCCAACTATTCCGAATTTCATCAGAATTTCGAGAACTTTTCTCGTTTCGTCTTCGTTACCATCAGTCGTGGGATGTCGTTACTGTTTCTATTATATGCATGTGCTAACGAGAACGGCATACAAATGTGATATATTCGAGACAAAACAAGCAAATCTTGGAATAATACGTTTCCATTCTTAAGAGAAGCCATTTAAATATATATATATATACACATATGATTACAAAAATATGATTCAAAATGTCTTTAAAAAAGTTTTGTACAATTCAACGTGCATTAAAGTACAATTTTCTTTGTCGTAACGATAGACAGAAAAATTGAAAGAAAGAAAAGACCAGCAATTTTATTGTTTAAGCAATTTGTTCACCCGCTCAAAAATGTACAAAACTTTTTCAAATTTCTGACCAAATACTTCAAGATTAAACAATCTCTTGAGAACTTTGCGCCGTCCGTCTCGATTCACTAAGACTTTGGACGAAGGAAAAAATAGTGTTATTATTGTTACGAGAAAAAATAATGGAATATTGTATTATTTTATTACAATGTTTAACAGAAAATTTAATTTCCTCCACGGATCGATCCTCCATCTTTTTAATAAAAAGTCTGGAAATGTTTATCTAGAAAGAATGTTTATATAAAATTTCCAACTATCGAACTTAATATAATATATAATATTTTATATAATATATAAATTAATATATAAATATTTTATATAATATATAATATATAAAATATTATAAAATATTATAAAATATTATAAAAATTAGAAATCGATTTTCCGCCTTGAAAAAAAATTTATTTTCAAATTTAGAGAAATTAGAAATTTCTCAACAGAATCCATTTCCAAATTTATCTCGTCTTAACAAAAAAGATTGTAGACCAAGAAAATTATCCTATTATGCAAAATTTGAGATAAAATTCCAAAATTCTTTGATCAAAAACGAAACGATCAAAAAAGGTGTTGTTCAAAAGAACGACTTGGAGTAACGAAGAAGACGATAAAAAAGAAAAATTTTGGATCGCGTGCTCGATAAATGGTTGGAGAGACGCGGAGAGACACGCGGAAATCATTTTACGGGATGACAAATGGAAAGATTCGATTTGAATGCGTCCGAAAATCCTAACGCCATTGACACGCGTTAACCCGGTTGCAACTCTCCTCCCCTTCAACTCCGTGGACATAAATCACGCGCTCAACAGAGGAAGAGGAAGAGGATAAAAAGGATCTTATAAATTTGGGAATGCCAGGAATGGACGTCGACCGAGGAACAATGACACGGATTCAGAAAGAGAAATTGGTTGGAATTTTAAAATTTCTATTGCCAGCGTGTTATCTCTTCGATAAGAGTCTTTTTTCTTTCATAATTTCTTTCTTTATAATAACAATAATCGCGAGATGACATGTGTTAATCGATATATATCTTTCGTTTCACTCGTTTTCACAAAAAAAAAATTAACGGAAAATTGTCCAAAATATTGTAAGAAATACTGTTTGACTATAATGTAATTATAATTTTTTATTATTATTGAATATATCATAAATTACGTGAGATTATGTATAATTATTCGATAACCATAAGCATAGAAATAAGCTCGTGTCTCTTCGAGGGAACAATCTTCATTGCGTAACCGAATTAATCTTGCGCGATTAATATTACGTAGGCGTAAAGTTGATGCAACGTATGATAAATAACAGGTGTTGGACGCGCGAATCGATTTCTTTTCACTTATTCACGAGCGAATAAAAATCCACAATCGATTAAACGACAAATTATTCACGAGGAAGAAAATCTCGTTACAACGATCGAAAACATCGTTGTCATCAACCAAGGTGACAATGGTCGATGCGCATAAGCGTGCTCGCTTAATAATGGAAACAAGCCTTTAACGCCTTTCATCACCGGCCATTGATATTTAACGCGCGAATATTAAAATCCTTGTTAAGCCGAGAGAGTTCACGCTTAGGCGGAGGGAAAACGCAACCGGTTAACTAATTTATACAGGAAAATAATGAGCCAGACGCACATTGTTTCCATTGTGCGTGCGTCGCGGAATATCGCGTTAATTAACAACGCGGAGTCACGCGAATGAAGGTTGGTTCCATTCCATTCCATTCCATTCCATTTCATTCCGTTCCGTTTCGTTCCGTTCCACGAAAGAAAAACTTCACGCTGATGAAAATTACGAAAATTACGTTTATGAATTGGCGGAATGAAATTCTTTGGAAAAAAAAAATATCACAGCTTTCGAAAAAAGATGCGAATATTTTGAATCGAAGTTTAATACGAAATTAAATAAAATAATAAATACATCGATATTTTTATCGCGAAAAAGGAACTCGGTGGATAAAAAAGAAATAATAATTTCGATAATTTCGATTCATAATTTCTATTCCACTCGAGGAGAGTGGAAAAAACGCGAGTGAAAAGGAATGAAAAGAGGTGGGAAGTAAGTACCACGAAATTGGAGAACTCGTAGTAATTAGTGTTCCCGTGGAAGCGAGTTAAACCTGAAAAGTAGGAGAGAAGTAGTTCGACGAACGTAAAATTGGTGGAGTATGATGGCGAGAAACCGGGAGGGAGGAGAGGGGGGAGGGAACGGCCGGCTGGGAGAGAGTTGAAGCCGAGCCAAAAGTCTACGCGTGGCCAACGGAGAAAGAAAAATTATCGACTTCTCTCTTATCGAAACACGAATTTTTCCTGAGCGGAGATGGCAAAAGCTATATGGAAGATAAATTAAACGACGATGAGAAAATAACAAGAGGAAAAAATTAAATCCGAAGATCATCAAACTGGAAGAGACTGGGCCGATCAATAGTCGACTAGTACTACTTTATCGTATCGATAATCTCGCAAGCTGGGAGAACAATTCAACAATTTTCATTAAGAGTAATATTTTGCTTAAAACTTGTACGTATTTTCTCCGCTCCGCGAGAAAAGAAATTTTCCTCATTCAATTTTAAAATTACAGCTGAATAGAACGTGAAAGAAAATAAAAATGGAAAGAAAAATATAAACAAAAAAGAAAAAAATAAACAAAAGAGAGAAAGAAATAGGTATTCTCGTGAATGAAACCACTAGAATTACGAGTCGCGTGTCGAGAACCGGTGCCTTGTGTCATTTGAGAGAGAGAGAGAGAGAGAAAAAAAACAAGAAAGCAAAAAGATTCATATAAAGGAAGATAGATAAATAGAGAAAGAGAGAGAGAGAGAGAGAGAGAGAGAGATGGAAAAATCTTTTGAAGAGAGAGATACAAGGCGACACGTAATTTCAGTGAGAGGAAAACGAGGGGGGAGGTCTAACCTTTGTAATAAAAGAGGCAGTACTCGGAGAGGACGAACCACCGTTTCTTCCAGAGCATCAGCCCCTCGGATCCCTGTTTGTGTAGCCATCCCTGAAGAGCCACGGGGGCGGAGAGTGGCCTCTTGGCGGCGGGCGATCGTAAACCCTGGGAGCCGCTTCGTCTCCGTACCCCCGACACGGACGCTGCCACCACCCCCGAGCCATCGTTCTTGCTACGTACCTGGACAGGTACAGGGACCGGTGCCGCCTGGACAACCTGCAATCATTTCATCTTTATTTCTATGGCTCCCCCTTGTGTCAACATTGGTCAAAGAGTAGTTTCAGTATTTTATGGATTTTTTTTTTTTCCCCTTTTCCCATCGAGAGAGAATCCTTTTGTTTATATGTGTCGTGTGGATAAGTTTGGTGTGCGATCGTACCGTCTGGACAATTATTTTATCTTTATTTCTATGGCTCCCCCCTTCTTCTGTCTTTGTATCAACACTGGTCAAAGAGTAGTTTCCAGTATTTTATGGATTTTTTTTTTCCTTTTCTCGTCGAGAGAATGCTTTCGTTTATATGTGTCGTGTGGATAAGTTTGGTGTGCGATCGTACCGTCTGGACAATTATTTCATCTTTATTTCTACGGTTTTCCCTTGTGTCAACGCTGGATCGAAGAATATAGTATTTTCAGTATTTTATGAATTTCTCTTTTCTCGTCGAGAGAATGCTTTTTCTTATGTGTGCATGAGTTTGGTGTGTGATTGAACAATATCATTTCGTCTTTATTTCTACGCTTCCTTTTGTGTCAATATTGATCAAAGAATAGTTTCAATGTTTTATGGGTTTTTCTTTTCTCGTTAAAAGAATATTTTTATTTATATATGGATATAGATAAGTTTGATGTGCGATTATATCGACAGAGCTTAAAGGGAAGTTTTATTTTATGGCTTTTTCTTTCTTTAATAAAAAAAAGATTTACTATTTATGTGATATACGAGTATAAATTTCGTGTGTGTAATAAATATAAATAAAATGTATTTGATTGTAGCAATAATACTTAAGGGAAAGCTTTAGTGTTTTATGACATTTTCTTTACCGAAATAGTAGCATGCTTCTTTTTTTAATGATCTATTTTATTCCGCTGCAAACTTTTGTATTGGTTGCAGAAGTATCCTGTTTCTCAAGTATATATATGATTTTTTATATCGAATATTCAATATATATATATATATATATATCTTTATCACTAAACTCTATTTGCGATCTTTTCGTTTAATTTCAAAAAATCTGAAACATACCAAAGCACAATTTTTGCACAAATTAAAGGTGAAATTTTGCAAAAGCTTTTGGAAAAAAATTTAAATTTCAACGAGATTAAATCCTTCCAGACTAGAAATCTTGCGTATAATGCACGGTAATAAAGCATTCATACAACTAGCTGACGCGATAATTTAACCTGTATCCCGTTGTAGCAAGGCCATCAACCACGGATAATAGAAATATTTATCTCGCTGATACCGCGCGATAAATTCTGTTCTAATTTGCATAATTATACCAGCCCCCCAGGAAATTTGGGTAATCGGAGGCGATTATTATTTCGATTGAACGTTTCCTTCCCCCCTCCCCCTCTCTAGAAAACATTCAAAACGAAACTAGCGATCACTCCATGAATAGACGTACGTGTTTATAAATTCGAACACCGCAATATTACTCATCAGGCGCATCGTCGCGAAACTTCCAATTCTCTCTCTCTCTCTCTCTCTCTCTCTCTCTCTCCCCCCCTCCAAAAAAAGAGAACTCTTTTTTTTAGAAGTAAGGGGAAAATTCTTTATATTATTTTTTTTTCGTGAAAAAAGACACGTCGAAAATAAATGGATTGCAATAACGAAATAAGAAATCGAGGAACGTAAAATATATTTCGCCGTCACACGGATCGATGAAATTTGTTAAAAAGCATCGATGGTGGAAGAAAGTTGGAGAGAACTGGTCAATTTTTGGAGAGAGTTAACTTCGTTTACGCCGGTCAGACGGGTTAGATAATCCCGGAGTGCAGTGCCGTGTTGCCCTTCCTAAACGACACGTTTCTCGATACCCGATCGAGAACCGCTTTTCCGCTCCCTATCCGTTCGAGAGACACCGCGAGAATTTCAACCATCCGATGGAAAATTTATCGACCGAGGCAAAATTTCGCGCGCGATCGATCGATCGGTCAAAAAGAAAAAAAAAAAAAAAAAAAAAAAATCGAAAACTCGCGACACTACGTTTTTAAACGTAAATTAATCGATCGATCGATCGATTCCCTTTCTTCTTTTGCGATTTTTCGTGGATAATGTCATTCGAATTAAGTATCTTCGTAATATATCGATGCCAATTTATTTGCTCTGCTTTCCACGGAAGCAAAGGTGAGCCACGCGTCAGAAAAAGAGGAATAAACGAGACTTCTCGCGAAGAGGCATAAATTTTTTTTGAAGATAGAAAAAAATTCGATCGACTACATAAATATCTTCGAAATATTTGTAAGATTAATTAATGTATTATTATTGCCTAAACTTTTCTTTTTTTAAAGATTCTTCTTTAAATACAATCACACAATAATTTTACAATCATACAATAATTTTAATAATTAAATATAATCATACAATTTTATATATATTCCACTCATAGAATCTAACTTTTCTCGAATGAAATAGATTCATTTCAGCGAGGAGAAGGGAAGGAGGATGATTTCTTGATTTTTGCAAAAAAAAAAAAAAAAGAAAAGACGGTTAACGAGTTTTATTTTTCAAGACGAACAGCCCTATAATCGCGTCTCATTCGTGTTTTACGGGTCGTGGACAGGATTTTCTCGAGATACACTTGGTCTCGTTGCGAAACGCTCTTCTCTCTTTTTTTTTCTCGACCGGGGAAATTTGGAGAGACCTGGACTGGATCGAGACGTGATTCGAGAAATTCGCGGAAATCTCAACTCCTTCATCGTTTTTCGCTCAATTAAAGGGTAGCGGCTCGCGCCTAAAGAGCTCGACAAATTCTGCTGATCCAAATTTACTTGGGAACCGATTCAATTGCTGATCGAGTAATTATCGATCGATACGCTAATTTCATTAAAAAGTAAACAAGACCCTTCGGCGATTCTATGATAATAATAACGTTAAGAAAAGAAAATGAGAAAAATTTTTCTTCGAATTATGATTGACCTCGATCGATAGTGCCTCCCTCTGCTATTTTAATAAAATAAAACAAATATTGGAAATTAAATCTCGAGTAATATCGATCTCTTCCTTCTCTAATTCGTTTCACTTGGTCAAATAAGCATCCGATGCCAAAATGGCTAATGCAATACTTTTGCATTAAATGATGATTTTGAAGAGTGAATAAGTTAATACAATCGTGATATCATCATCTTTATTGTTTCGATGAGTTCTTTTTCTTCCGTCAAAAAATATGGCAATGAAAATTGCTTTTGATCTCAACGTACAATGATCGGCGAGATAACGAGAACAATTATCGTCGTGCGAAAGTCGAATATTCTATCGTCAGATTCGAACAGCTTACAGGAGGAATTTATTGATACTCATCACTACGATTCGCGTCAAACGGAATTTCAGAATCGAATCGTTTCACGATTGATCTATGAATTCTGTTTCTTCCTTCGATTTTTATTAGTAAATATTTTTATAATAAATTAATAAATTAAATTCCTTACTTAAATTATTGCAATTATTCTAGAAAGATCGACAAGCCCTCTTTTTTTTCATTTATAATTTTTGTTAAGCAAAAATATTCCCTTTCTTCCCTTTTAAATATACTTCTCCAAGAGAATATACTTCTTTCAAGAGAGAGCGTAATAGCTCCAAACTTTTGCTCGGCCGACGGCGCTTCTCATCTCGGATTAGAAAATTCAGGGGTTCGCCAAGTAAGAACAAACGGTGATGTATTTTCGGGGTGAAAACAAGGGCGATTCTTCTTTTCCAGAGGAAAACACGCGCGTTGCGACTCGAGGCGATCCGCGGGCCGGAAAATCCGGTTGGAAAACTTTCCTCCAAGACGCGTGACACTCCAAGTCCGTGTCAAAAGATGGAAAAAAAAGAAAGAAGTGAATCAAAGATGAAAAAAAAAAAAAAAAATCAAAAAAAATTCTTACCGGCGGAGAAATATATTAGAATTGTTGGTAAATTGCTGTCCAATATAAAGATATTTTGGAACGAAGGAGATGAATTATTTTGTTTAGAATAAATATCCTAGGTCTAATGTAGAATTTCGATCGTTTCCACGACTGTGTTTCTGTCAGGCTTCAACGAATCGAGGAATGGGAATTGGGTTTAGAACATCGTCGAGCAGAGAATAGGAGAGAAGTTAAGTTTTGCAAAGGTGAGTTTTTTTCCTCCGCAACTGTCGTCCGTGAAGCAGAAATGGAGAGTTCGGAAGGAGGGGGGAGTAGCTCGGAGTCATGAAATTACCACAATGTTTTTCGTCTGGTTTTTAAGATAACGACTTGCCGAGGAGCAAACCGAACAGCAAACTGTCACCAGCTATTTTACCAGAAGATAATTGGGGAGAAAGTTCTTTTTTTTTCCTCCATTTGTACCTGTATTAAGTGACAGGTGTGCAAAAGAAATCGTTTTAAGATTTGAAAGAAAATGGAGAATGAAATTTTATAAATTTCAGATAAATTGAATACGTTTGTTTAAGTAAAATTAATTTAATTCTACATTCTTTTTTTATAGATTCCCTTACGTGAATTTCATTGTTCCATCCTCGAAACTGATACTTGGCCAATTCTTATTTTTCTAAAGAAGAAATTCCATCCACCAATTTCATTTTCACACGATAATCAATTTCCAAATTCGAATATACGCGTGTTGCGTTAGGTGAAATCTAAATATCCGAAACATTGCGTTTCAATTTTATTTCGATCCACGTATTTCTTATTTAAAAATTAATCTCGGTGGCGGATCGATAAGGAGGAGCGCTGATAATGGGTCTGATTAAATCGAGGAGAGGAAAGGGTGACCGGGAGCCAGTTTATCAAAGGGCGCCCCGAGTCGAGTAATTAAAGGAGCAAACGATGTAACTGGAAACATTTAAAGTTCCCGGTTGAATTCAGCAAGATCCTCGCATTAGTTTCGGCCGGTTATCGCGTCGTCGATTTAATCGTGTTAACTTCAAACGACATCGTTAACCCCTCCACCAATGGCAGCGCGCGCAACCCAAGTGTCACGAAAAACGCTTTGCAATTCGCCATAAACCCTTATGACGCGTATCGATATTCCTTCAAGACGAGATCTTCAACCGGTTCTTTCAATTTTTAACCTTTCTTCGAAATTGATCCAACTATCGTTTGTACTTTTTTTTAACTCGTTAATGCACGTTTTCATTGGTGGAAAGGAAACGCGAGTCTCTGATTGGTTAATGCAGAGGAGGAAACGCCTGTTTTCTATTTGTTTCTATTTATCACATATTATTAATAAAATTAATAAAACAACGATCTAAACTTCGATGTATTATAGACATGGAATCCAGAATATTCTATAATATAAAATTATTTTTATTTCTTGTAATGTGTAGATTAGTATTACGATTTTTAATGATAGTTTTAATTTAATATAAATGTAATTTTGTATATGAGTTAAGATAATAATTATATACGAATAGATATATTAATAGTGTATCGAAATAATTATATAGTTTCGAAAATATTTCTTGAGTTCTTCTACTTATGTAACGTGTGGTGTCAGGATCGTCAACAAAGCGTGTGAAGTGGGGATAAATGGTCCTAGCGAAGGACCCCTCTTGCCCCTGTGCCGTCCCGCGAGACTTTTTTTCCGCCAGTGAACAGTACATTCTTCGGTTTCGCTTTCAAATTATTATATGATGGAGCGTGGATGTTTATACATTTGTGCAAGGTTGAAATACACAAAATAATTTCCATAGAATGCATAAAAAGAGAAAAAATAAAGCATTAAGCATTGCGATAATTAAAGAAATTAAATCCTCGTTCAAGTTCTACAATTTTATATAAATAGTCCATTTATTTCGAATAGATTCGTGTATTCTTACGTTTCTTAGTATATTTTATAATAAAAGATAGTACGATTTTGTATAGAATAATTTTATATTAATTCAATTCGAAACGAGAAAATTATATGAAATTTTTTATAGCTATAACTTCAACAATGATAATTTAGAAGGAAACACATTTTTGTTTTTATTTGTCACATACAAATCCAAAACGATTTGTATGTAAACCTCGATGTATCAGCGTAGACATTTTATTCAGAGTATTTTAACGTATAATATAAAATTATTTTTATTTCTCGCCTAAGTTAATTACGATTTGTAACGATAGTTTAATTTATAAATGTAATTTCGTATTCGAATAGTTAAGCTAATAATTATACATATACGAATAATATCGAAATAATTATATAGTTTCGAAAATATTTCTTGAGTTCTTCTACTTATGTAGCCTGTAGTGTCAGGATCGTCAACAAAGTGTGTGAAGTGGGGATAAATGGTCCTAGCAAAGGACCCCTCTTGCCCCTGTGCCGTCTCGCGAGACTTTTTTTTCGCCAGAGAACAGTACACTTATCTTCAGTTTCGCTTTCGTTGAATTATTATATGATGGAGTGTTTATACATTTGTGCAAGGTTGAAATACACAAAACAATTTCTATAGAATATATATATAAAAAGAGAGAAAATAAAGCATTAGCATTGCGATAATTAAAGAAATTCACTCGTTCAAGTTCATACAATTTTATAATGTATAAATATTCCATTTATTACGAATAGATTCGTGTATTCTTATATTTCTTAGTATATTGAAGCATCATAAGTTCTAACAAAGATAATCCAGCAGTAATTCGTATTTATTTCAATATCGTTTTTGAGGCGAATCGAAGATAATTTTTGATATTATTAAATTGTTTTAACATTTTACTTAGTTTAAAGTTCAATTGAATTGATTGTATCTTTGAATATCTAGAATTTTTAATTAATTTTTAATTTATTTTTAAATTAATTGCGATTATCTTTGTATTTTTTTTAATGATAGAAATAATTTGATCATTTTTAGTATTTAAATGCTTTAATTCGTGCTTGCACTTGGTTTGGTATGGCTTATTTATGTTTTTGATTTAAAATCTTTCAAAATTTTTGGTCGTTAATTTTCCAATTTATTCTAGCATTCGATTAATATATCATCTTTTTTATCATTAAAACAATATACATATGAAATATGTATTAAACTGCAGAAAGGTGTAGAGTATTGAATGCGAAATGTACGCTATGTATTTCACTATACACCGTGATCTTTCCTCATAGTTTCGTAATCCATTACGCGAACTATTCTATGCATATATCCTTTCATGATTTACAATCTATGGATTTATGGAATTGAAATATGCCATACAGTGGATGAAACGCTAGAGGTAGAAACAAATTCGATGGAAGATCAAAAACATTATTCGACAGGATATAGAGATCGAGAAAACTATAGAGATCGATAACTTAGCCGCAATCGAATTATTTACGAATTATTATATAAAAGTATAAAATATTTTATCCGAACCTTTTTGCTGTCCATTCCGGACGTCGAGCTGGTCACCGGCTGGTCGAGCCTGAAACAATAGAAAGAAAAAAGAAAATAAAGAAAATCATTAAAAATCCTCCAAAATTTAAACAAGACACATATAAATACAACCAATATCCATTCAACCTTCAAATAAACCAGATACATCATATTTTTCACCTTCACGTATCTCACATTTTCTAAATAAATTATTTATCATATAAACATACATCTGATAAACATTTTCCAAACTCTCTCTCCATGAACGAATCCATACGCGCGCGCGTCCTCTCTCGATTTTCACTCCGCTGGAAAAAAGACGCAGAGAGAGCTTTTTCCCGCGAGAGAAATTTCTTTCGACCATTATCGCCTATCCCTTCCTTCATCATCCTTCGCTCCTTTTCCTTCTCCCGCACTTCTTTTCTCCGTCTTTCTTTCCAGTGACGCGCACGTTACTATTACGCGTTCCGTATGCATACGGAGAATCGAGACTTTGAACACCGCTTTACTATACTTTCGTTACGGCAATTCGCTCCGCCGGAGCAATGCCACTGAACCGCGCCGAAAAGTATGCGCGTACTGCACGTGGATAGTCTTCGCACTTATGTATCCACCTTGCCATTCTCTTTTATCTATCACACTTTTTTAAATGTTACGCAACAACTGTTTCGTCGTATTTTATATGAGAAGCGTGAAAATAAATACGTTTCTTGTAACTTGTTTAAGAAAAATTTTTTATTATAATATACTTTTGTACAAATACAATATACTTTACGATATACTTTTGACGTCTAGAATATATTACGTGCGTTCAAGATATACTTTTAGTAGAATTGATTCAATACGAGTCAATAGAGTCAAGAGATATTCTCTACAGGTAAAGTAGAATCTTTTTACCGATTATAATCGGCAATCGGTAATGAGAGAGTTAAGCGATTCAGACTCGTCGATTAGGAAGAGTACTTATGTAACTATATAAAATATAATATGTGTCGATTTGAGTGCAAGCTTCGATGGATCTCGATGCAGTATAGACATTTTGGATATATTTTGTGATACGATGCGATGCCGAATTCCGTTACGCGACATCTCGCGTAACTTTCTATTAAATAGATGTGACGTAAAGGTATGTTAATACGATTTTAAATCATCGTTTGAAATTTTAAGAATTTATTTCATAATAATTCGATGATAAATTGAATATGAAATAAGAAATCGTATTATTTCCTTGGATTTTTCGATTGTTAAATATTCTTCGATGAATTTAAATTAATTGTAAGATATATAAAAAGATATCGTGTTTTTTAATTATTTTTGCACGGATTTTCACCTTTCGAAACTTGGTTCTTGCCTCGATCTTTCTTAACGAACGAAGATCTCGAGTTGCTGGGTTGAATAAATCGAGACGTAAACGAACGTCGTCACGGTTCCCTCGAAATTCGTTCGCGGAAGGATTATCCTTTGAAACGCGGTAATTGAAATAGAATTTCGTTGGCCAAGTTTCGGTGAAAAAGAGGTTCGAGTTTCCTGCAGATTCTGCTCGGCTTCTTTCTTTTGTCCGGCAACGCTAACGAACCAAAAAGTTCGAATGGAATTTGAATAAATCGAATATCGGCGAGGAAATCCTCGAATCGTGTATACTGAATTTTCAAATAATTATCGTTCAAATTATTTTTAGGTCCATCTGTTATCCAATCGATTGTGTTCCAATATTTATGAATAATCAATTCGAACGGAAAAATTGTCAAATCGAGCTGTAAGTTTCGTTACGTTTTATTCTATTATGCTAATTATACTAATCATTGTCCATTTTCCACTCTGTGTTGATTATATGTATAATCGAGAGGCACCAAAAATTTACAATATAAAAAAAAAAAAAGATAGAAAGAATTAATTGACAGATAGTCAATTCTCATTGAATATCGAAGACAATGTGGAAAGATTCGATGCGGCATAATAAAATGATGATGATGGACACTGTAAATATATATAATAATAAATAAAATTCAAAACAATGACGCAAAAAAAAAATTCGAAAATCTTTTACATTTTTCGATTTTCAAATAACCAAAGACTACATTCCCATTTACTTTTGTATTTTATTCCAATATTTTCCCCAATTTTACGATCCTGAATTAAATTAGTCAAATCGTATCTTCCAATTCCAATTCGAAAAGCTTTTACATTTCTCGAAAGGAAATAGAACAGAAAATAGAATAGAAAATCCTTATTTCTCGATTTTCAAATTTTCAATGATTATTGCTCGTAAATCTTCGAATAACCAAAGACTATATTTCCATTTATTTTTGCAATTTATTCCAATTTTCTATTATTATTTTCTATTATTATTTTATATTATTTTTATATTATTTTTTTTATATTTATATATTATTTCTACTATTATTTTATTCCATTATTTTCTATTTTATTATTTTATTCCATTATTCCAATATTTCTAATTTTATGATCCTGAACTAAATTGGTCAAATCGAATCTTCCGAATTTGTATTACGTAAAAACGCATGGAAATAATTAGGGAGCCATGGAAAAACGCATGAAACTCGATAGTCCGCCCCTGAATCGCGATCTAAAATGCGATATCGTTCCGTTAAGTCGAAGAAATAATGACACTGTGGCGAGGAGGTCAACGATTACATTGAAAAATTGCCAGGCTATTACTTTCATAACGGCATAAAGGAAGTAAAGACTCGTCGAGGTGTATTGTATTTGCTGGTACAGAGCAATCAATCAATGTTTCGAAGGTTTCGTTCGTTATTGAATCGATCCGCTTGTTTTTCTATTTCACCGTGAAAATGAAGATTCGATATCGAAAGATCTTCGAAACGCGTATAAAAATATTTTTATTTTCATTTTCGTATATAATCGCATGAAATAAACGATGCGAAATTGAAATTTAATATACGAATTTTATATTAAAAATATTTTCTGTGAATCAAATAATATTCGAATATAATTAAAAAGTTGTAATATTTTCTAATATTACATTTCTAATATAATATAATAGAATAATCAAATGAAAAGAGAAGAATTTTTTCATTAAAAACTATGTCGAATTAATTTTACAAATTAAGTGAGAATCGTTTAGATAGAAAGAGATAGAATAGCGAATTCTGGCACTAGAACGTGAAATATTGTTGAAAGCGCAAAAATAGGATTCATATATTCTAGAAAATAATAATATCAGAGGAATTTTTTCAGAGGAATAAATCTATATGATATGGAAAAATAGAAAGATAACCAATAATCAAATATTTCTTTTGATTTTTCAATCGTATAGATGATACAATAATAATATTATAAAATGATTACTTCCGATTACCATATATTCATACGACGTATACTCGGCTTGTATCTCTTGCGGATTTGTAAAATCGAACACGGTATATTGATATTCCCAAACGTGTAGTGCGGTGAGGGATGAAAACAGCTTTTCATTCGTTTCGATGCGTTTCGAATAATTCAAAAGCAATGCGAAAGAATGGGTGGCAATCGTATTTTCCGAATAGCTAGTTTGTTTTAATGGGCCACCATCTTTGTTTATTTCCGCCTGACAAAAGCGAATAACAAAAAAGAATTCGTCGAAATCCGACAAATACACGTGTTTTGAAAATTATTCAAAGACGAATAACATCTCGTTTCACAGTGTCGAACTTTGAAAGAGAAAACGCGATTATTGCTCCCATTGCTTTTCAAAGCGTGTCGTGCTCCATCAATCAACGACGATTATTCGTTATTTTGTGGTCAGAGACAAACTCAAATTCAGTAATTTTTGCAAAAGAATCAAATTCTTACAAAAGGGAAATTACGCTTAAATGGAATAAAATAAATACAAATTCACTCCCTAAAATTGTACATACAACTTCAACAAATTATTCAGCAATTATTGACAATTGTAAATCGAAATCGATACTCTCATTAAAATTTTCTCTCATTCTTTAAACAAAGAAATATGATTAATTGGATACGTTTAATAAAAGAATTAAATATATATGAATTAAATATATATATATGAATAATAAATGAAATTGTATGAATTTAAAAAAAATTTTTAAGAAAGAAGAAAATTAGACAGTTATTAAAAGGAGGCAGTTATATACATATATATATATATAATACGTACTTATCTCGGAGACATTACGTACGAAACAATGGCCGAATCTTCGATTTCTTTTCGTCTCGCGGAAAATGGGACAAAGCTTAGTAGGAGGAGAAAGAAGCGTAAAAAGGGTCGTAAAACACGTCGAAATTCGACAATGGCCGTGGTGAGCGATTAAAAACGTGCTTCGCGTCCGTAAACGCGGAAGAAAGGCGGACGACGGAAAAAAAAAAATGAGAGATCGAACGAGAGATGTCATTCTTCGCGGAATGATGAAAATTCACGGATATCGCGCGGAAAAATTCTCTCTTTTTTTCCATCGTTGCGTCGAATTCTTCTAGCAGTATCGTGTCTTCGATATATGGCACACAACGTCGAATGAAAACAACTCGACTCGTCGTCCCATCCATCCTTTTTTCTTTCTTCCCAGCAAAAGGAGACGTCACGACTCGCTTTCTCCCTCCCTCTCTCACTCTCTCTCTCTCTCTCTCTCTCATTCTCCCTCTCTCACTCTCTCTCTCTCTCTCCCTCTCGGTTACCTAATATCGCCGAACTTTTTTTGCCCGTTTAACTTTCGACGGCGCGAGTTTACGAGTGTGCAAAAAGTGTTCGGTGTGACACACACAAACATATACATATACATATATATATATATACACACACTATGGAGGCTGGTCAGTGGATGCAGCCGTCGCGACCTGATTCCCAGAACAATAGCAGCCGACGTTTTTTACGCTGATGTCATTGAAAATTTATCGAGCGGCTGTGCAAAATGGTCGGGCACAGAGTGGAGACGTATGCGAAACGTATGAAAGGGAAGAGGTTCTCCGCGATGCTCGTCCGCAAATTGCCGGATACCTCGTTCTTTCTTCGTTTACACCGACGTACAACGTTTTTTTTTTTTCTTCTTTTTTTTTTTTTCAACCATCTCA